TTTTTTTAATTTTAAATAAGTTGTATCAATTTTTTATCGATTTTATATTTTAAATAATTTTCTGGAATCTATTTTTTATTTTTTATTTTATATAAATTGTATCAATTATGTTACCGATCCGTCAGTAAAAGTGATAGTGAATAGTTAAATTATAGTATATTTATGATGAAGTATAGCTTGTGTGGGGTACAAGATATACTCATGATCCGTTTCAATTTTGCACCTATTCGCGAAGGATTAATACTATTAAATATTAATTATAAGCTATAGTTATAAAAAAATTGAAACCGTATACTTATAAATGTACATTCATACAATGTATATTCATATAAATAAAATTATTAAAAATAGAAAAATAGACTCGTGTGCATGCAACGCAATATAATCAATAAATCAAGGCTTAATATGTCTTTATTACTTATTAAAAATTATTAAAATATTTTATATTTACTAATTGAAACGTTTATTTAAAGTACATATTTCTTATTTTATGTTTTAAGTAGATTTTCGAAAACAATTTCTTATTTAAAATAAAAGATAAGTTATTTTTCAATTTTAAATACAAGTTATTTTATATTTTAAATAATTTCTTGTCCTATTGTTTATTTAATATTTGAAATAAGTTCTTGGAACCTATTTTATATTTTTTATTTTAAATAAGTCGTATCAATTACTTTACCGACTCTTACGATTTTATATTTTATAATAAATAAGTCGTATCGGTTATTTTACCGAACTCTGCAAAAAATTGTGAAGATGAGATTATTAACTTACACAACAATTTAAGAAACAGCCAAAGCTCTAAGAACCGTTTAAATCGCTCATAAATCCACCACGTCTTCCTTTTTAACTCGTGATAGTGAATCTTGTATCAGAATTGGATGGATAACTCTTGATCGGCATCTTACGCAACGAACTTATGTACTTTGCTCTGATAAGATTATTTAGTTTTTCTGGTTCGCCTCAATCTAAATCGAAATGAACATCGTCAGTCCGAAAACGTAATACTCCTTAATCAGGGGCTCGAATAATCCGGTGAAGACATAGGCCTCGGGATTAGGCGCGTATATATCTTCGATAGAAGCAGGATTCACACGGGGCAAGTCGAATCACGTCTATAAGGGATAAGCCCCAAGTGGCCGTGCGTGTCTTTAGTTTTCTGAACAGAATTCGCATCGGATACTTTTTCAGCAAGGAATCATCTTCGTTTGAGAATGATAAATACGTTATATATAAATAATAATATTTATAAAGTATATTTATAAGCAATATGAATAATATGTATTTATAAAAAATTTTATATAAACTTTCGAAGTAACTTTCGATAGTACTTAAAAAAAAAACATTTAAAAACACTTTTTCTAATTCTTCACCTCAAGTTCTTCTTCACTTTTGTTTCTTGCATGTCGTTAACTTTGGAAGAAAATGCAAGTCTTAATTATTATTTATCGGTTATTATTATATTCCGTTACATTAAAGAATATTAATATTCTCCCATTCTACTTATTTTAGATACTTTTCTGCACGTTATTAATATAATAGAATTGTATATATGTATGTATGTATATATATATATATATATATATATATACATATATACATACATTTATTGTTATAGTTTATAAGTTTTAAAAATAAATTTGCCATAACTAATTAAAAATTTATTTAATTTCCCGGAAATTTTGTTTGGTTTAAAATTTAGAATTTAAATACAGCAACATGTTTTAATATTGAATAGTAATTTAATATTACATAGTATCAACCGAGTTCAAATTGGAGAATATTTTATTCTCTATACACATTTTTTATTTTTATAAACTTCATGAAAATGTCTTCCAGTTTTTTCAGTTTGTCATCATTTGCTCTGACGGAGCTCGTCTTTTTTCGGCAAGCGCACGACGTGTGCTTGTCGCACATTTTTTTGCAACCTCTTTGGTTTGCTCTCTCTTTCTCTATCCATGTAATCGTAATCTTTTTTTTTGCACACTCGTCTTTCTCTATCCTATCTGCCATCGTCTATCTTGGATAATTTTCTCGTTTTCTCATCATGATTTCTTCGTCCACGTTCGAAATGCATCTCATTCATAACGTTGGATTTTAATTACATATTTTTTTCACGTACTTCTCATTCTTCTCCTCATATTTTTTTTTTCTTTC